TATGTTATTTGTCTCTGTTTTTCCCTGTATTAATAGACCGTACTGTTTGTTTGTACAATAACGATGTTATTTGTGTTTTACTTACTTCCTTACGCCTGTTACTCCCAATGGAGCATAGGCCGTCGACCAGCATTCTCCAACCCACTCTGTCCTGAGCCTTCTTTTCTAATTCCATCCAATTTCTGTTCATTCTTCTCATGTCTATCTCCGTTTCCCGGCGTGATGTGTTCTTCGGTTTTCCTCTCCTCTTTTGGCCTTGAGGATTCCCTGTGAGGACTTGTCTTGTGACGCAGTCGGGTGCTTTCCTCAATGTGTGTCCTATCCACTTACAGTGCTTCTTACTGATTTCTTCCTTCACTGGGATCTGGTTTGTTCTCTCCCACAGTACGTTGTTGCTAAGTGTCCGGCCAACGGATCCGAAGTATTTTGCGTAAACAACTTTTAATAAACACGTGTATTTTCTGGGTGATTGCTTTCGTAGTTCTCCAGGTTTCTGCCCCATACAGTGGAACTGTCTTGACATTTGTATTGAAAATCCTGACCTTGGTGTTGGTTGACAGTTGCATTGAGTTCCAGATGTTCCCCAGTTGTAAATATGCTGCTCTTGCTTTGCTGATACGCGCCTTCACATCTGCATTAGATCCACCCTGTTCCTCAATGATGCTGCCCAAATATGTAAAGGTTTTTACATCATCCAAATCTTCTCCGTCAATCGTGATTGGATTGGTGCATGCTGCGTTATATCGGAGAATCCTGCTTTTCCCTGTGTATATTGAGACCTACTGCTGCTGCCACACTGTTTGTCTACTCTTGCATTTGTTGTTGCGTTTGGGATAGAAGGGCTAGATCATCTGCGAAGTCCAGATCGTCCAACTGCATCCTAGATATCCATTGTATCCCGTACTTCGCTTCAGATGTTGACGTCTTCATGATCTAGTCGATCAAAGGAGAAAGGGTGAGAGTAAGCAGCCTTGCCTAACACTGGTCTTCACTTCGAACGACTTTGTCGACTGTCCTCCATCTACGATTTTGCAGTGTAATCCATCATATGAACTCTGTATGATATTGACTATCTTCTGAGGTACGCCGTAGTGTCGAAGAAGTTTCCACGCTATCAAATGCCTTTTCGTAGTCAATGAAGAGTGATGAATTCCATTCAATTGATTGTTCCACAATGATCCATAGGGTTGCGATTTGGTCTGTACACGATCTATCCTTACGGAACCCTGCCTGTTAGTTACGAAGTTGGGCGTCTATGCAGTCCTTCATCCTGTTTAAATTTGCGTTTTAAAAACACATAAAGTTTATCTAGCCAAGACTCTGTATTCGACGGTCTAGAGAATAGCTCAGGATTAAACCTGTAGGAAATTGCTCCCTACAAAGGCAGATCATAAATCAGACCTATAGGAGTTAGTTTAAGTATTACACGGTACAAAAAGTGCATAGACCATCATATATAAATGTATTGAACGAAATGAATTAATATGAATAAAACAAATATTATTTTGTATAAAAGATAACAATAAATCAAAAATAAACAAGCCACACTGTTGTGTGTAAATAGTTTGCATACAAAAATGTGGGATCAATATTGAAAGAGCGAAGTATAAATGAATTCATAAGCACATTTACGAAAAATCAGATAGCCAGGAGCTATGAAAAATGTCAGAATTTCGGTTGATGGCAACTCAAATGACAACATGACACTTGATTTAATTTGAATATATTTGCATAAATAGTCATCACAATACTTTGGACAAAATAATGAGAAGTTGATCCAATAAGAAAAGGCAATAGGATTAAGCAACATTCTGGGGAAAACAACTAAATGAAGCAAAGTTATGAAGTACAAAGAGACATATGGTGAAAAGGAAGTGAAGTTACATTGTAGTGAACTGGTTATTTACTTTGTTTTGTTTTCTTTAAGTAGGGACGTCTAGTTAAGAGTTTGCAGTGACCTCGCCGCAACAAAAGACACTTTTCTTGCTGTTTTTTGCGATGACTCTCGAAGGGATGTACAACTGAAGACAAATTACATTTACATTCGTTTTCAACACGCAACTGGAAAAAAAGACAAAGTTTACAATTCTCGGCGTAAATAAGGTATTCAAATAAATACAAAGTATGATAGTGTACGAGAATTCAGTTAATTTGTACGCCGTTTTGAAACACTATTCTTTTAAAAGAAGCATATACAATGTGAAAATATCCTGTTTCCACTATCCGCTCTGATTTTTTTGTGACTTCATTGTAGACAAGATGGATTAGAACTAAATAATCTATTTAGTTACTGTAAATAAAATGTGAAAGTCTAAGAAATAAGGTTTATCAGTAAGGTTTGATCAGCGACACACCCGAAAAAATACATTAGGTTTGAAGAAGCCAAAATAACCTACATTAGAATATGAGAAGGATAACTACATAGTACCTATCTACATGAGTTATTGTATCGTAGGGTTCATGTAATTAAAAAGTAAACCTGCCTAGTAAGTAACTTACAACGAATTCGCTATACTGGTCCTCTCAAACAAATCCTACTCGTGATGATGAATACGAGTCGAATATGAATTAATACGTGAAAAGATGAGAATGTGTTACAGCAGAAAAATGGATAATCCATCAGGTTGAAAACCGACGTCAAAATTAGTACTGTTTGTGAAATTCTGAATATATGGAAATATAAACGAGTTGAAAACGTCAATTTTCTGTAGTAAGTATTCCAAATTGGCTCTTGAGAATTATTAACAAACATAGCACAAACCTTAGAGAACGATCCACTAACAATGAGATTCTTATTGTTTGTGACATGGATAAGACAAAGCAGACTCCCTTATTTACCAGATGTAGCTAATGATTGCACCTCCGTGGAGCGTTCCGATCACTAATTTTTCTGTTGCATATGTACGGTTTTTTTGACTAAAAGATTGGTGTAAATTAGTCCACTCGAAGTTAACAAAAACATATTAACATGTGCTAACTTTTGAAAAATTCAGTGGATCTTCTTCTAAACTTAACGTATTTTCAGTACATTAATGATCGTACTAATTACTTTCATGAGGGCATGTAAAGATACCTAGTGATCAAGGCTTGAATTTCGAAGACAGTGAATTCAAATAATACCCACAGTTCTCAGAATAACACTACAATTTATTAATTAAATCCAAAAACAGTTAAGTCTTGATGCATTTAGATTGCATATCCCAATTAACACTTACGATTTTAAAACAAGGAGACTGATTTCCTTTTACAATATAAATACAGAGATGACTAATTTTCAACAATGACTGTTTACCATCAGTCGGTCAAAACGTAGAACTTCGTACGTTTCAGTCACCATACCACATTAGCACAGAGACTGTTTACCATCAAATTATAACGAAGTAAATAGATTTATCAATAAAAGCAATACTAAAACTAACTTTATAGTAAGGTATTAAAAATGAATTCATGTAGACAAAATGTTATTACTTGTGATTGCCGATTAATGTGCAGCGACTTATCGATCGGATCAAAGTCGCGTAAACACATGCGAGCAGTCTAGAGTTCTGAATGGCCCTGCTTTCCGCCTAGCCCAGCCAGTTAAATCCAGGACACAAGTCTCAGCCTCTGCGACATGAATCATTATATTTCAAACATACTGAGTTTATATACCAATCAAACAGACTAAATCGTACCATAAAATAGAAAATAATATTCTACAATATTTGGCCAACAATGAAAATGAAATAAATATTGACCAGTAGGTCTGGTGTGAGTGAAACAATCTGCGACGATGATGTGATGCCAATCACTAACATCCATCGACGTCTTGGACGATGGGCAGAATTTTTCGAAGGGCAGTTCAACTGGCCTGCTGCTCCGGCAACATCGGTCAGACTGTCCTGCCCTCCATGGCCGGTGACGACTGATCCACCAAACGAGGAGGAAGTCCGCAAGGAATTCCAACTCTTGAAGCGTTACAAATCACCTGGCCCAGATGACTTACCTCCGGCTTTTGTTAAAGATGGTGGTGACAGTCTGACTAAGGGAATTGATGACGTTGTTTACAAAGGATTGGGAACTAGAGAGTGTACCAACGTCATGGAATGAGTCAATAGTTGTCCCGATCTTAAAAAAGGGTTCACGTCGTCCCTGTAACAACAATCGAATGATAAGTCTACTTCCGATTGCGTCCAAGTTATTGGCTTCCGTTATACTTCGTAGGTTGTTCAAAAACCGAGGAAGATTGACTCGCGAGGAGCAGGCTGGGTTTCGTTCTGGTCGAGGATTTATTGATCATATCTTCACCCACCGCCATGCTTGTCAAAGGCCAACAATCGTAGTGTTTCTTGAAATCAGGGCTGCCTTCGATTCGTTAGACAGGACTGTTCTCTGGGATTGTCTATTGAAGAAGGGTGTGCCTGAGAAGTTTATTAACATCCTAAAAGCCCTATATAAAAACACCTCAGGTAGAGTGAGGACATACAACCACCTCTCTTCATTGTTCCATTCGAGCAGTGGGGTAAGCAGGGTTGCCCAACCTCACCATTTCTCTTCAACTTTGCCATCGATGACATTTTGGAAACAGCTCCGATGGATGTAAGTAATGGTGGTGTGGATCTGTTGCCTGGAGAAAGACTTCTCGACCTTGAGTATACGGATGATATTGTCTTACTGTGCGATAATGCCCAACGCATGCAATCCGCACTAAATCAGTTGGCAACCAGTGTCCGTAGGTATGGTATGTGCTTTGCACCTTCGAAGTGCAAATTACTTCTACAAGACTGGCAGGATTCTAATCTTGTACTCACTCTGGATGGTGAGCAGATAGACGTAGTTGAAAATTTCGTGTATCTGGGTAGCTGCATAAGTGCTGGTGGGGGTGTGAATGATGAGATCAATGCACGTATAGTGAAAGCCAGAGCGGTTTATGCCAATCTGGGCCATCTTTGGTGCCTTCGTGATGTTAGTCTGGTTGTAAAAGGTCGGATCTACAACGCGTCGATGAGAGCAGTTTTGCTCTTTGCTTGTGAAACCTGGCCTCTCCGAGTTGAGGACGTTAGACGACTCTGTGTTTGACCATCCTTGTCTCCGAAGCATTGCTGACATTCAGTGGCAACACCATGTTAGTAATGTAGAGGTTCGGCATCGTGTGTTCGAGTGCAGAGACGATAATTCGATTGGTGTCACCATCTTGAAACACCGACTTCGGTGGCTTCGACATGTTCTCCGAATGTCATCCCAGAGAATTCCACGTCGTGCATTATTTGCCGACTCTGGGACTGGTTTGAAGAAGCGGAGAGGTGGTCAGTGCATGACATGGTGTCGTGGCATGAAAGAATGCTGCAAAGGACTGGCTTGTGTTGGTCCTTCACGACTCCCTGGTTGGGGTCTGAGAGATGGTGCAACACAGTGGCTAGAGACGTTATCAGATATGGCTCAGAATAGAAGCCAATGGCAATCCTGCTGTAACCTTCTTTTACTTTCTTCATAAAAAGTGGTTGTGTCTCCCTTACCTGAGAGATTTTTTTCTCCGATTACACCTTTCCATTCCCTCATAACTACCACACTACCTTACACCAAACTCTTCTTTATTGTTCTCTTTCTTTGCGCTACTTAGCTGGTTTTTTCTATTTCTCTTTAAATTTTCATTGTTTTGTGCGGTGCATATATATTTGGCGCTCTCTTGTATCAATATTCATGTGTTCAAATAAATAAAGAAAAAAACGACACGTGAAATAAAAATTGACCAATAGGAAAATGATGCCATTTCAAGTTCAAGGATGACATTAAACTTAACAGGATAATTTTTGGGATATTTTTCTGAATATCCCAACACAAAACCACTTGCTTGTTGATTGATTTTATTAGGTTACGTGATTTAAAGAATGTGGAAACAGGGATCAATATTTCTGAGATTTTAAATTATCTGAAGTTGCAAAACGCAATCTAATTATTTTTCACTTATGTGGAATATTCCTCTGTCAAATAAAAACAAGTCGCTTGTATAAAAAGTGACCAAAAGATAAAGAGAAAAATGTAAGGTCATTACACATTATCAACAAACTTTTGTAGATGGGTCAATGTGATCATGGTTTCACTTTGAAGTTAGATTAACTAGTGAAAAGTAAGTTGTTCAGACTAATAGGACGAACTGCCGAAAAATAGAAAAGCTACTCAGTTATAAATAATATATTTGGATAAATAACGTCACTATACTTTCTATAATGAAAATGAAACATTTTAATAATGAACTCAAACAAGATCATTATCATCATCTAGGGATGAGTGAGAATCGATAGTTACATTAAACTACTTATTTGGATTTCAAGTACAGTTGTTATGATGGCTGCTTATTTGATTGTTTCCGGAAGTTGATTTGCTTTATATATGGTCTGCACAAACTTACACTATACATCAATAGTAAAAACTAGGAAACAATTATATTTGAAAACTAAACACAGTATAAATGCGACTGCTCATCTCCGATATCGAAGTGATAAATTCAGGTCTAATGACTAATACATAATACTGTAGGTAAAATAAGGACCTAAAAGTCAGAATACATCGATTTCAATCGTTTCTTAATTTGGAGAGAACATTATTCAATGTCCCTAAAAAGACCAATAGATCGTATCGTTGAAGAGCATCGAGCTAATACTCTGAAATATTTCAAGATTTTCTTATTCGTAACAGCCCTTAAGCTAATATTATTTCATACTAGTCAACTTTGGTACTAATCAGTATAAAAAATTATGGACTCCGTGACTGCGAGGAGCTTCCTATTACAACCACTATAAAACAGTAAGCAGAAGAAATTCTAATGACAACATTTTAAACACAATATATATGGAGTTAAAAAATGTCTATCATCAGATTTCAATTCAATAATTCAAAAGTAATGTAAGAGCTATAAGACCTAGATGTTTAAGTCTGAATATAAAATACATAATTGTTGTTGGGTCACAAAGTACGACGAAACATATTTGGACTTTTCTTAACTTTGTTTCGTTTTATAACCGATGTTGGTTTTTAAAATTATTCGTTATGAATTGGTTATGCTACAAAACGTTCACTGACATTCGACACTTCTTCCAAATCAATTAGTATTTGAAATTTATTATATTTTAGTCAAGAATGGTGGTCTGTGATATAAATGGTCGATTTAAAACACGGAAGTCTAAACAACAATCACCCTTACAGTAATTTCAACAGCTCTTTTCACATTACGAAGACTAGAACTGCGTATGTAAATCAGTACTTAGTTAAACTAACCAGAAGCAAACCAATATTTGAGGCCATACAAGAAAGGTTTACTTTCAGACTTGGATAACGATTTAATTAAAAGCTCCACAGAAAGTATGTTTTTCTTGGATCAATCAATTAGAGCTGAAAAAATACAGCTTAAAAATCCCATTGTTTTACGTTAACTGACTATTTTTATAGAATATCACACAAAAGATGAAATTTAGTTTCATAGACTAGCAGGTCATCAAGGTCAACTCTGTTTATAATTTTGATACTATTTTAAAATAAATACATAAACATATACTATGATACTAGACAAAATATCTCCATGATACTAACCTGTTCATCAGTTGAATGATAGGTCTGAGGATCTAAGACTAAGCTAGACCGATTTCTATGTGATAATATATCAGGTGAACAAGATGTATCACTACAAACCAATGAAGATGTTTGATGTTTCATAATTTGAGTGGAAGATGAAGATAAAGTAGAAGGATATGAATGGAATGGTGTTGAAGTATTTGGAGTTTGACAAATTTTATTATCCCCCGATGAAGTAGGTTGAATTGATGACTTATCCCTCTCGAAAATACCAGACTTATGTGTACAAAGAGTTAGTGCATGACATTGACACATCTTCCCTGAAATCAAAAGTGATTGATTGACACGCTGCAACAACCGTCTAATAGCCTATAAACCAAATATAAATTTAATACAATGATTACTATTTCATAACTGTACAAATGAAATTGTGCAGTAATTTTCACTACAACTTGTTACATCCGGTTTTTAATTATTAAAACTAATCGATTTTTGTTAGTTATACGGACCTTCGTCCCGGTGGATCGTAGTTTCCTTAATAGAACATGAAACTAGCATGCTCTACTTCAAACAGTAACGAAAATCAATCAATTTGGTTTTAACAACCAATACACATTAAATGACGACTACAACTAGAAAAATAATTTTCGCTTTAATTCTTATTATCACAAATTACAATCACAACTGTTCTGTAACATTCGTTTTAATTTTACATTGTCATTTAACTATCCTCTTTCACTCCCATTTTGTGTATTCCTTTATTTTTCAACTTATATGGCCGCTCGCCTATAGTGAAAATCTTGTCCCTTTCGGCGGATATTTGTTCTCTGAACTGGATGACTTGGTCGTGGAGCTTTCATAGTTATTCTGAGCATCATTAGCACAATGTTTGTTGGTTGCTGATTGACCTAGGTGCCAAGCTTTTAAAGTCCTCCGGTGTTTTAATTGCATTTATCCAATATCTCGACATTCTCCCAGTCAAATGTGTCCACATACACTGATACAAGCGAGGATATATCATGGCGTTTGACTGCTAATTGGTGTTCGTGCAGGCAAAGATGCAGGCGTCCGATGTAGTTTTTCGCAGCTCTAACAATTTGTTTTGTAGAGGATGTTCACTTTTCCTTCTTTCGTCATTTCATCCTTTGGTTTTCATAAGACTGATTGAAGTAATTTTGTTGGTTTGTGTGTTAAGCTTATTCCAAAAGGCTTCAACAATTTCGTTGTAATTTCTGCTATGCCTTTTACATGTGGTAGATGATCCGTTTGTCGGTTTTTCTATTTGATTCTGTTTCTGCTGATACGCTTGGTTGGTATTTTTTGGTGTTGGATAGCCGTTTTTTCGAAAGGCAGTCTTTAGATATTTTTCTGCTTTGCAAGTGTGTTGTAGTGTGTCCTTACCCTCTTAAACAAAGTTTGTACGTAGTTGATTATGTGAACTCTTGGGTTGTTGCTACTGTAATTGAGAATTTGATCTGTGTGTGTTGGCTTCGTACATACTTAAGTCTCCAGTTTTCCTGTATTAGTTCTGGTGATTAATATATCCAAGAATGGTGATCATATCAAGTTCAAAAACGGGACAGGAATCAAACAACAAACTACCATGGCAAGTAAATTTCAATGAGCTAAATATGAAGAGAATGATCTTGATTATACATCTGAGAATGAAGGAGCACAGAATCCTAGCTTATTTTTCACTACTAGCGGCCAAAAATTGAAATATCGAATTTTCTAAATTAACAAAATTTTAAACATTTTGTTCTTAGAGAGATATAGATTAAGGCGTGTTCCGTGCAGGATCGTGTTGAGGCACGATGATTGACTATTTCTTAACCAATCGGTGCTAGCGAAGACTTGTAAGAAACTCTAGAATTTTCTTATGTGAAAATTATAAATATACTAACGTTTTTCTTATTGCGATACATATTTTTATCCACCCTTTTTATTTGGAATATAATTACGTTCCTGTTCAAACGTGTTCTGATTTGGGGTCTTGTCGAGTGAAGTAGTGTCCAAGAATACTAAGCAATAAAAGTAGCTGGGTCGTAATAAGAGAAATCATAACACCTATTCGCGATCAGAAGGCGGTCGCAGCTGATATTCGATAAAACACTGAAGATATAACCTTTGTGATGGTTATGTAAGTACAATTATAAACACCTACTACGTTGATCAGGTAGGATAACAAATGAATGTCATTTTATTGTTCCATTGTATTGAGTAGCATTTAGCGGATAAACACAGTTCTAGTGAAACCAAACGACCACGTAAGAATTCGATTAGCATACCAAACACTGGAGACTAGAAATATATATCAACGACTGAAGGCAGGTAGACCATTACAAGAGAAAGGTTTACAAGCTTATTGATTAGAAGTCCAAAGGGAGTAAAAATATCCAAATTTACCATTCCAAGCCAGTGAGATAATAGTAATTTATGATCGAAAACGCCAAGTGATAGTGCTTGGAATCGGTTGAAGTGAATTAGATATGTTTATTCGGTATCTTTTTTGAGTTTTCAACGTACTGCATTCAACACTTCTGATATTTTTTGGTTTCAGTTTCCTACTACCTTCCCACACCCCTACCTTTTTGTTTTTTTATTTCCGGTCACTGTCTTGGTTTGAGTTGTCACGTTGAACTGGTTTATACCAGGTTTTACACTATTTATATATAAATATAGCACCTCACAATGAAACAAGTAAACATACTTTTTAGTCTAGAATTTATTTATTCAATCCCATGAAGAAACAACTTAATTAGTGTTGGGCGACAGTTGAAGTTTATCAGAGAGTAACTACTTGATATATACACTGATTACAAAAGACATTATTTCTTTAATTCTGTAAGAGTGGTTGTGATCACTAATCATCAACGTTCAACATAAATGGCAAAATTCCATGTGAAACGCACTAAAGGATCAGTTTGAGTAGTATGGTATCTGAAATCTTAACATTTGTAATCAGTCAAATGATTGGAGAATGTGAATATCAAACATGGGAAAGTCAAGATGGTTTCAGGTCTAGACACGAATGTGTAAATTGAATATTAGTCTTTCATATTTCTTAACCTGAAGGTTGGACAGGTTTAATGGTAGAATCTGCTATTAAAAGACACAAAAGTCGGACGTAAAACTTGTGAAGTGTCACCACTCGAACGCCATCGAGCATACAGAGAAACATCATTCAACAGAATGATGAAAACGATTCTTTTAATTTAGTTCGAATTTCGGACCACGTCTACTCGAAAAATGCTCAGTAAACTTCCAACCTTTAAACAGATATCAATAAATAATCAACCCTGCCTCATTTTCGCATTATGGCCTAGGGTAATGCGATAACAGCCTTTTGTGGGAGAGAACAAATCAGCTTCCAGCTGAAGAAGAAATTAGGAAAAGACTATGGAAATGGATAGGACATACATTACGCAAATCGTCAAACTGCATCACGAGACAAGCACTTACTTGGAATCCTGAAGGGAAGCGGAAAAGAGGAAGGCCTAAGAACACATTACGTCGGATAATAGAAGCAGATATGATTTATTTATTTATTTTAACACATAAATATTGGTACAAGAGAGCGCCAATATATATGCGCCACACAAAACAATGTAACTTCGAAGAGATAGAAAAAGAAAAAAAAAACCAAGGAGCACAAAAGAGAACGATAACGAAGAGATTTAGTGTGGTCGTAACAATGAAACGGAAAAGTACAATCAGAAGAAATCTTTCAAGTAAGGGAGACACAACCACTTTTTATGAAGAAAGTAAAATAAGGTTACAGCAGGATCGCCACTGGCTTCTATTCTGAGCCATATCTGATAACGTCTCTAGCCACTGTGTAGCACCATCTCTCAGACCCCAACCAGGGAGTCGTGAAGGACCAACACAAGCCAGTCCTTTGCAGCTTTCTTTCATACCACGACACCATGTCATGCACTGACCACCTCTCCGCTTTTTCCAACCAGTCCCAGAGTCGGCAAATAATGCACGACGTGGAATTCTCTGGGACGACATTCGTAGAACATGTCCAAGCCACCGAAGTCGGTGTTTCAAGATGGTGACACCAATTGAATTATCATCTCTGTGCCCAAACACATGATGCCGAACCTCTGCATTACTGACATGGTGTTGCCACTGAATATCAGCAATCCTTCGGAGACAGCGATGATCGAACACAGAGAGTCGTCTAACGTCCTCAACTCGGAGAGGCCAGGTTTCACAAGCATAGAGCAAAAACTGCTTTCATCGACGCGTTGTAGATCCGACCTTTTACAGCCAGACTAACATCACGAAGGCGCCAAAGATGGCCCAGATTGGCATAAACCGCTCTGGCTTTCACTATACGTGCATTGATCTCATCACTCACACCCCCACCAGCACTTATGCAACTACCCAGATACACGAACTTCTCGACTACGTCTATCTGCTCACCATCCAGGGTGAGTACAGGATTGGAATCCTGTCAGTCTTGTAGAAGTACTTTGCACTTCGAAGGTGCAAAACACATACCATACCTACGGACACTGATTGCCAACTGATTAAGTGCGGATTGCATGCCTTGGGCATTATCGCACAGTAAGACAATATCGTCCGCATACTCAAGGTCGAGAAGTCTTTCTCCAAGCAACAGATCCACACCACCATTACTTACATTCATCAGAGCTGCTTCCAGAATGTCATCGATGGCAAAGTTGAAGAGGAATGGTGAGATTGGGCAACCCTGCCTAACCCCACTACTCGTATAGAACAATGGAGAGAGGTGGTTGTATGCCCTCACTCTGCCTGAGGTGTTTTTATATAGGGCTTTTAGGATGTTAATAAACTTCTCAGGCACACCCTTCTTCAATAGACAATCCCAGAGAACAGTCCTGTCTAACGAATCGAAGGCAGTCCTGATGTCAAGAAACACTACGATTGTTGGCCTTTGATAAGTATGGCGATGTTCTAACATTTGGCGGAGGGTGAAGATATGATCAATACATCCTCGACCAGAACGAAACCCAGCCTGCTCCTCGCGAGTCAATCTTTCCCGAGTTTTGAACAACCTACGAAGTATGACGGAAGCCAATAGCTTGGACGCAATCGGAAGTAGACTTATCCCCCGATAGTTGTTACAGGAACGACGTGAACCCTTTTTAAAGATAGGGACAACTATCGACTCATTCCATGACGTTGGTACACACTCTAGTTCCCAAACCTTTGTAAACAACGTCGTCAATTCCTTAGTCAAAAAGTCACCACCATCTTTAAAAAGAGCCGGAGGTAAGTCATCTGGGCCAGGTGATTTGTAACGCTTCAAGAGTTGGAGTTCCTTGCGGACTTCCTCCTCGTTTGGTGGATCAGTCGTCACCGGCCATGGAGGGCAGGACAGTCTGACCGATGTTGCCGGAGCAGCAGGCCAGTTGAACTGCCCTTCGAAAAATTCTGCCCATCGTCCAAGACGTCGATGGATGTTAGTGATTGGCATCCCATCATCCTCGCAGATTGTTTCACTCACACCAGACTTCTTGCTGTCAGTGGCTCGGATGAGCTGGAAGAGCTTCCGGTAGTTACCAGATGCAGCTGCTGCTTCCAGCTCATTAGCACGCTCCGACCACCAGGCTTCTCGGTCCTTACGCAAGCTTTGCCCAATTTCCCTACGTAACATCCTTCGTTTATGGTCAAACTCACGGTCACCCGGAGTAGACCGACGGGCTTCAATGAGTTGTAAGGAACCAGAAGAAACCCAGTGCTTAAAAGCGGGACGTTTCGCAAACCCACAACTGACTGTTCCCGCCATTTTCATGGCGTCAAGCAATTGCAACCAATGCTCATCTATACTTTTCGGTGGAGTGGTAGCTAGCCTAGAGGCTAACTCGGTTCGATACTTATTTGCAACAGAAGTTGCAACCAGCTTGCTAACATCAATCCGTTGGTGGCGGTCACTTCGTTGTCCACTGAAAAGTAAGGCAAGATTGGCGCAGACCAAGGCATGGTCAGAGTCCAGATAGGTACTCCAAAAGGAGCGGCAGTCTTTTACACAACCACGCCAGCGGAAGCTGATCGCGATGTGATCAATCTGAGTCCAGGCTTGGGATGCAGAGGGAGGACGCCAGGTGGCACATCGGCGATGACTGTGCCGAAAGTTAGTGCTAGCCAGAAACAGGTTGTGGTCTGTGCACAGTTGCAGTAGACGGTCCCCGTTATCTGACCTGCGACCAACGAGTCCCCATCGGCCACCTAAACGACTCTCTTCTGTGCCTAGACGCCCGACCTGAGCATTCAAGTCTCCGGCTAGTACTACAATATCTGTCGAACGCACTTTCTGGAGAAGAACAGATAACTGGTGGTAAAACTCATCCTTGATTGCATCCGGGCTGCAATCTGTCGGGGCATAGGCGGAGATGACGAAAAGACATCGTTTCTCACGCCGATTTCTTCTCACTTTGATGGAACTTTCTAATCTAACAGCACATAGCCGACTGTTAATGGGGATCCAATCAACTAGTGCTGCCTCAGCTCTAGCGCTTAGTGCGACACCAACGCCAGCAAGACCAGACGAAGATGCCACAGGGTCCCCGGATAAGCGCACGTGAAACAAGCTTTTCGAAGCGACAGATGGAGATCGAATTTGTAGTACTTCGCCAGAGTCTTGAATACGGGTCTCGGATAGACAACAAACATCAATATTAAGACTTTCCAAAGACATAGCCAGCCCTATCTGTTGTCCGACCTGCACTAGTGTGCGAACGTTGAAGGCAGCCAGTTTGAATGGTGCACGTGGTTTCAGAAAAACTGCTTCAGTTCTCGTAATCGGTGGTAACATACAATTTTCAACCGGACAGTGACTCGAGAACGTTTAGATACAGTCGAATTTCCACCAAAGACGAGCCGCTGTATAAGTATAAAAGAGGGAGAACAATGTGGAAAATAATAATAATAATAATAATAATAATAATAATAATAATAATAATAATAATAATGACAATAATGGTACTAATAATAATAATAATAATAATAATAATAATAATAATAATAATAATAATAATAATAATAATAATGACAATAATGGTAATAATAATAGTATTAATAATGGCAATAATAGTAATAATTATTGGAATCGATTGATTATATATCGGAGCGAGAAAATTCGTTGCCATAGTCATAGAGTTCATCGTTTGTGATATGAAAAGAATGAATAACAACTGGAAGGAGCTGGAAAGGATTGCCAAGGACAGGGTTGGATGGAAAATGATGGTGAGCGGCCTATGCTCCTTCACGAGGAGTAACAGGCGTAAGTACGTAAGTAATGCGATAATTTCCTACTCTTCCTATGTAATGCTAACTTTCATCTCTTCTTTGTTTACAACTATTATTTTGTTTACTTTAATCTTCATTTAATCAACCTTTACTAATTTTCACAAAAAACATATTGACAAGTATGTGTATAACCAGATCGTTCGAAATATATAGCGCAAATACATCACATTTTCCAGATCAACTCCGTCTTCTCATTGTTCTATAGAAAGACAATCATCATAACTTCATTATATCGTTCATTTTCTTCTTGAACAATTTTAGGTTAAGATAGTTTTGTGTCAATACAATACTAAAAATTATCTTGTCTTGAAATTCATCTGTCATCTAACTAGTCAGTCTATAAACACTTTTGAAATCTTCTCGAGGGAAGGAAATAAACCTATGTATTGAAGGATATTTGGTTGAACCGTGGTGTAGTGGTTAAGGCATTCGACTCTTAGCTTCGAAGTCTCATATTCGTACTCTGCTTACTAGTGTCCGCAACACCTAAATGTAAAACGATATATTACAATGAAATTTTCAATGCTGTAGACATTGTAGTTTTGACACTAAAATTTAATGAATGAAAACTTTTTAGCAACGAGAGGGAAGTTTCGGCTGTTTCTCTCTTTTAATCTCTTTGTTATTATTATTATTAGTTGAACACATAGATATTGGTACAAGGAGGCACCAAATACATATGCGCCACACAAATCTCATTTGATATGTGTGAGGGCTGTGATACTGCCCGGGTGCCCAAACAGAAGTAGGTGGTGTTCTTAAAGGGCCACACCCGGAGCCTTCGACCCGAAGGTCTGATCCACAAGGCAGTGGAGCATCGTAAGAAGATGCAGTTCCATGGTAGCGAGTGACCAGCGATTGGTTCCTTCAGGATACTGGAGCCCATGTGCACCATTGCTTTGGAATCCGGGTTTTCCAACTCCCCCCGGTGAACTCTCCATGTCCACCAACCCGGTTAAAGCGCCGGGCACTCGCTTTTCGTCCTCTCAATTCTGTAAACAACAGCCTCGCAACGAGAAGGAATTCCTTGGCAGAGGCCATATACGTGTGGCCATGTGAGAGCGTTTCGAGAAGGAGAGCGGACTCTCGGCCGTACCAGGGCATTTGGGGGTTATTTGTTCGATTGACACGATTTATAAGAAACTGAAAGAAGCTAGTTATAGTTAGGAATCAACACAAAATGGAAAAACGCACCACTAAAAATAAGGCAGACCAATCCACAACCTCAACGAAACTGCAATATACTTCAGAAAACTTACCAATCGTAAAGCACGTTTAGGTGGGAATTCCTTGTCTTCATCGTCTGTATGAGACGAATCTGATGAACTCTGTGAAGAATGTAGTGTTGAAAATAATGTATCGGGAGTTGATGAAATGAGTGGACTCTGATCAGTTATTAGCAATGTAGATTCGTGGACATGTGAATTAACAGTATGTTCAGTCAATGAGCCCTCTTGTTGTTTGCATCTAGATGACTTTAACTTCGAATTATTCGAAGTATCAGGTAAGCGGAAATGTCGAAGCTAAATGGATTAAAAATATATGGTATCTATTAAATAAAGCCATTTAGTTGTAACAATGACACTATACGTGACGAACATATAATTTTATTCATTATTTATGGGATGATTATTTCTGAGGATGACTTGCAGCCACACAATTTAATCAAACTCCAACTACATTAGTTGAGAACGTTCAATGTAATTTGTCATCATATGAACATGACAAACAGCTGTCCACAGAAATCCTCATGCAGCTATCGAGTCGAACTGTTATTAGTTGGAACATTATCATTAAATCAACGTCATTCGAGTAACTTAGTAATGAAGATGTCAGATCTCATTCTACCCATTAAACTGTTTAGAACGTTAACTTTTCGTGACAACGAATATGTTTCCTGCTTTAAATCAATCATATTCTATTAGTAGAGAGCAGGTGAAACTAAGTATGTGACAAATAAAGTTTCCGAATTTTTGAAGAATGTAACATTATTATCATAGTATTTTGTTACAGCAGAATATGAACCGTCATCAGTTAACATACGACTGATACCGTCCTTCCAAGATTCATATTGAGACATTTAAATGATTGTAAAACACAGATGAGGGATATTCTACATATTTAGATTCTTATGAAAAGTCAGTGTGCAACAGCAGGTGTTACGTCTTGTATTCTCGACTAAATAAATGTTATGCGAATCATGTCACAAAACGTCGTGATGTCCGGATAAATTAAGCTAGTATTTGTCAATAACTGTCAACGAATCTCGAGTTAAATTTAGGAAGGTATTTAGCAAACAGATAAACCCCTCAGTTTATAATTCCAGTAGTTTGTCAAATATCTAAACAATACGTGCATTCGTATGAGAGATCATACATTTTACGTGATCAACTATTTTTACTTACACAAAATACGACGCAAAAATCGTGACAAGCATAAAATAGAGAAGTATTCCTAACACTAATCCAGTCATTTTTCAGTAAGATACGTAGTGCTAGCTACTCTTAACCTTATAATCATTCACTGGATTAAGAGATAATTCCGAGTATATTAACACTGGTAGTGTACACTTAACTGTAAGATGCTCAAGTATACAGCCTATTAATTCGTCTAATCGCACTTAGCGCCTACGTAATATCCCAAAACATTCTTAACTTTCGATGTTTTCTCCAATAGTGCTGACATTCAGTGAGAAAACAAATTATCTTTATAATCATTGGGAGGTCAGCAGTGAGCTACTGTTAACATCTTACAATAAAATTGTTTGAAAGGTTATGCAATTCAACATATGAAGGATTCAGCTGTGGAATATATTTATCATACGATGGTCAGAAATAATTCTTATTCTGTATGATCGATATTGTTAAGCTGTATAAGATTTAATCAAAGCATTGAGAATGGTCCTAAACAGTATACCAACGGTCTCAAACTAGAGGATCAAACGGCATTACAAAACACTGGAATTCATCACTATCTGACAAACAAACATAATGATCAGTAGTCCTGATGAAGGTATAAAAACAATAATAAAAATAACATAGACAGGTACGAAGAATGAGTGAAAACCACATGAAAACTAACTAGTTCGGCTTCCAGTATAGCTAAGAATTTTGCAGGTAATGCATTTTTTGGACGGGTTCGAACATTGGCAACATCTTCAGCAATCAACTGATCATGTACATCCAACAGACGGTCCATACTAACCATTGCCGAAAAGTATGATTCGTTGGATGAAGTGAACTTATTTGCGGAAAGTAATGAATCCGCCGTTATTTCACGAACGGAGAAACCAGAATTTTTCGTAGTCGGAATACCTGTTTCGCACAATTTTTTCACACTAAGTTGATTTTCAGAACGGAAACCTATCTGACTTGTTTCGGATGATAAAGGGTGAAAACTAGACCCATTACTTTGACTTCTCGATATTTCGGAAGATTCACTGGTAGAAAAAGAACTGGGAAGTGTCGTAGGTAAATTTGTTGCTACTGTATTTGGAGGCAGACCATTTAAATCATCGAAGCACTTTCTGCATACAGGACAGTTATTGTTTTGTTCAATCCACAGATATAAACAGGCAGTATGAAAAATATGTCCACAGGGGAGTTGACAGGATTTACGCATTTTCTCCCAGCAAATAGGACAATTTTCCTTCAATTGGAGTGAAAACAGAAGGTATTATTTATTCGCTAAGGTCGAAACGTTTAGCCAAATAACGAACATGATGAAATGAAAAACAATGAATTTTAATGAGGTTGATATATTTAATTAGAAATGGGTTTAATCACTAACTGATACAAGTTGAAAGACCACTAATAAGGTAAAAGCATGGTATGATAGTCTGGTTTGATATAAGATCTAATCCCCAGCCTTTTACAACATCCCGGAAAAAGGTAGCGGAGCTACATGCCTTCTTTTAAGTGTGTTATAATGATGCCTAAGGACAAATAACTGGAACTTGGTGTTTCACATAACAGATTTCGAGCGAGAAATAGGTCAGTAGAAAATATAATGCGTAAAATCAAAACTGAAAGGAAAAATAGTTCAAACAGTTGAGTAATCATATTTAATAATTAAAAGATGTGAATAACCATTAGAACGTTGAACAAAACTAAAATCCAACATATGCTTATCAAAAGGTAAGGCAACACAAAGAACTCAACATCCATAGTTATTTGTATTATAAAAACCACTGAACGAGCTATTTTAACCTGGAAAGCATACTTCAAATAAACTGATGGAACTACGGTAAACTGACAGTCAAATATGCAAGTCAAGAGTGAGACGATGTTTATATTGTGTTGTGAACAAAGTTAACAAAGTGAGTTTTAAAGACTTACTCTTTTAACTGCCATTATAAAGAACACTTGTGGTTAATGCAGAAAATCCAAAGAAATAATTGAAAAACAGTAGTTCGAGTTGTCTTTTTATTTCTTCTGGTAAGTCAAAATACCCTAGAATAATTATATGCACGACTCAGAAATAAAGCAGAGAACTCGCTTTGAAGTACATATTTGTACTTAAGCTTACGATGCAGTACATGAAAAATGTGATTTGATGATAAAACACGAAATCTGATTATTTGTAACTCTAACCTACCTTGTTAACAACATAAACAATACGATAAACAACTTTGGATCTAACCCAAAAGTTTATTAGCTCAAATGAGTGCATCCAACATACGTTCCAGTACTTTTTCATACACACCTTTATCGTTTTATATTATATTATATTTTTTGTTATATCCCAATGAGTAGAAAAATTGTATTTCTGACGTTTGTGACTTAATGTAAGCCACTTTTTCAGAGTGAAGAAGTGGGATATAACAACAACAACAAAACATATTCATTGATAACTTTCTACCCAATGATCAATTTATTTTAAACTATCGAGTCCAACCTTGGTATTGACACCTAAAACATTTTCATACTACACCTTCAAAATCCAATTTATTTCATTATTATTGCTACTACGTTATTACGATTAGCCTTTATCCATCTTTTTAACTCCATCTGGTAGTGCTACAGAAGTGTGGTCACAGAACATTAGTGTCAGGTTTAAAGTGATTATGACTGATTTGCAATTAACAACAAAGATTAACAGCACAAAAATCAAATGATTGGAAATAAAGACATGAAAACTGAGGAAAGAAGACATGAGAAACGGATAAAGTTGCATGATGGACATTATGCATTAATACTCATCATTCGAGAGGAAAGCCAGAATCTTAAGGTGGGAAGCGAAATAACATAACTGGTAAATACATTCACGTAACTATGATTATCCAAAAGCCGACTAGTAAAGTAATTCACAAGATTAGTTTGATAAAAATACGTACCTGAGAACTGATAATCTTATGAACAAGTGACGGTTTTATAGTGACCAAATCACTTTCCATTATACTTATTATGTAATTAATCCATGCGCATGAACCATTCAAATAAAACTATCTACTGCTTACAGTTTGAGTAAAGATCATAAGTTTCAAAAAGTCACAAAATACGCAGCATATCTTGTCATCTTTGAACAGGGCTTTCCAGAGTCAATTATAAAGGTTGATGCGCAACCAGGTATCGTTGTAGAAACATTTGCAAGACTATGAGTCATATCTACTGCGAAAGGTAATGAGACCATATGGTGCTAAGTAAAGCGAAAACTGAGATGATATTTGACTGTCAAGTAGTTACAACATCAACTGATAGCTTTTTGAGACTATGATATGTATCACATAATTAAGCAGATATCACAACTTTACAGGGACTAGAAAGCTTAGATGTGAACATCCTAAAGACAACTAACAGATACAATACAGAAGTCGATAGGTTACAGTATTTGATGAAGTCTGAAATACACTGATAAAAAAAAATGTTTAAAAATACAAAACTGAATACTTACTTTGGAATAAACAATTCGAGTATCTAAACTTTTTAGTACGTTTTTATAGCGTTTGTGATGCACAAAACGTTTGGACACTTTGTAGTATAAATGTTGAAGGTGCAAGGCAACAATGATGCTCGACATATTTATTTGAAGTTTATTCCAAAATAACATATGTAGGTTATGGAATACATCGCCAGCATCAGCAATCGTATCAAAAACGAATTCAGTGTAATAAAGAAGCACAAAACGGTGGTACACTTTATCGTCATCATTAGAACGTGAGGCAAGTTCGCAATATAGATAAACTACATACCACGTGATAACATGCACAGTGACAATCAAAAGTTGAAATACCTCCGCAAGCATAAAGAACATAGTATTGAGAGAATGCTTAGCACCCACGATGATAGAAATAATCATCAGAACGTTGCTGGAAAGCAGGAGCAGACAACATAATAAAAATATTCGGGCTTGATAAGTAAGAGAGAAATCAGAACAACGAAGAGTGTACTGAGAACGATCCCTGATAAGACCAGTTAGAAGACGCAAAAAGCCAAGTATAGTAAACCACGTTGCCCAAAGAAGGAGTTCATGAAGAACTTCCACGTGAAGAATACCATAAATGAAAACCACCTTATAGAAAATAAAACTAGAAAAATTTTCTCTGATATGTGAATCTTCAGCGCTTCGAAGTTGACCAAAAAACAAATTTTGCAATTCTCTTGCAGCATACATCAACAAACAGTATCCAAAGTTTACGAAGCTCCAAAAGCACCAACTGTCCTCCAGACAGCAAGTTAATGCCAGTGTTGGGTAGTTTAGTGTGGTAGAATTTCCTGTTCCTTCAGGTTTAGCATCTTTAGTCATCTGGAAGAATACATGTAATACAGATCCTAGCAATGATACTGTTGTATAAAGTACATATGTGGAAAAGTCCGGCAATGGTATACGCTCTAAATTCCAGGCCTGCATCTGGCGTCTATGGCGTACTGAGCGCCTTAACTCAGGGTAATAAATCCCAAATTCAGTCGGTTTAAACCGCGCTTGATTCAAGTCAAACTTTGAGTTTGGTAAACACACAGTACTCTTTTTTCATTTTACACTTCTGGCCAAATATTTATGCCACTGACAGTACCATACAACAGTCTTGTGCATATTTCAGCGCACCCTACACTTCATTGAACCGTTGGCTTTTCACTATTACTCTGTCGAGTCCACTCATGATTCCTTTCATACCATTGACACCAAAGCAGTAAGGTGAGCTTTAATCTTTTGGTTGAGCTCAAGTATGACTGGTTCTTAAGAACTATTACCTTAGTTAGACTTGTTCTGTATTATTATTTCTGTCTTTTATCATTATGTCTTCGGTATGTTGTAAACTTGTTTTTAGATTTTACTGTTGTAGCGGTAAAAAAATCCCCAAAATAAATAGCTCTGTACGTCTTCGACATTGGATGCTGACCACATTAGTTTTAATGGACTCTCCTAGTTGAAGGCACTCGGTCATGCATCCGCACCAGATCATGAGTGGGAACGCCGTGCTCAACAACCCCTGCAATCTCTTGCCCGATTACATCAGACGCCCCTCGATATATTGATAAACTATCAAATATATCTTCGAACCTCTTCGCTTCTCACTTTTAAATTCACTTGATTGGTACGATTCATAGTAGGAGGTGTTACTGGTTAAAGCGTTGTCAAACTCCTAATGCCTGTGGCATCTTCAAGGTTACATCGTCAGTCATTATTACATTAATTTAGTCCTGCTGTTCAGGCCACTATGATCCCAAGTTTAATATTTTTAGGTGAACGAAGTGTGGTTGATTCTTTGTCCCAACTACTTTATCATCTATGCACGTTCCATACTTATCGATGTATCAGGATATGATTAGAATGGTTGTGAGCGAAATAAAAGGTGCTTTCATCAGCGGGCTTCTGTGTCTATTAACAGTAGATCACCAGGTAGAAACCTAGGTACATCTGACAAGAACTATTTAAAGAGGTCGGTGGTATTTTTCCTCTCTGGATTAATTTTCTTATTTCGATTGTTTATTATGCATCAAGACCACTGTATTAGGTTAAATTAAATTAATTTCATTTAAAGTTGTCTCCAAGAGTATCGTTTTTTCGAAAGTAGTTTATCATCCGTACTTCTGAGTACTTGCGTACTTACTCCTGCTATGTTGGTTCTTTTTCATTTGTTTTCACTCCTGATCCTATCAATCTACAGTTTTTTACTTTTGTCTCGTCATCAGTTGCTTTGTCTCTGGGTATTGTTTGTGTCTAGTTTTTATCTGAAAACTTCCGATTGATGACTGGACACTTCAAGAATGTAATTGCCAGCGACCAGGCTTTCAATACCTTGTGAATAAAATACTTCCTAGTTGAGTGTCAAAAAAGAGAACGGATGGATTCAAATCTGTTCGACTAGGAAACTATGCTTAGCGGAGTGCCTCAGGATACAGTTTTGGGGGCCAGTGTATTTCTCCATGTATGTAAATGGTTTGCTTATTTTTCAATCATCATCCGTTTAGTGATATGCTGACGATTTCAAGATATGCTGAGAGATAAAAAGTAAAGGTGTTTAAGTGAGACTATTTGCCTTGACTAGAGATACGAAAATCATTCAATCACCTGATTGGTTGACAAGCCCGCAATAAAATACGAAACAACCGTAACACTACTCGATTAATTTCCAATTCCGATTCGGTCGGGATTCAGGTTAATTCAAAAAGATACATGAACAAGTGAATGACTAACATGACAACAATACACAAGCAATTAGGGAAATACAGTTGTGTCCAAAACTGAGGATTATGGTGGAAAGATGGATTAGCAAATGTTACGTATAATTTACGATAATTTTGGGACAAAAAGGACCATGGCAGTGGATCATTCATCAACCGAAAACTAATGGCTTGTCGACTAACCTAGAGCAAAATATAACTGTCAATGTTCTATGATCTTTGGATTAAGTGAAATAGCGCTCTCAAAAATTGCTTCCGTAGTTTGTCATGGATTCTTTGTCTCTATTTTCGCATCAGTTATCTCAATACGTGACTGAAGCTCAGTCTGTCGACACTCAAGTTATAGTTGGATCAACTGGAAGACCCCGATTGCCAGAATTGACACACCACATTTAAACTTCTGTCTCCTCTAAACTTAAACCGAAGGGCACATTCTAGTAAAAATTTATGAATCAGAGTCCTGAGTACTTTAAATATCGAGTTTTCTCTTATGTGGCACCCAGTGAATTTCTTGAATCACGTCACTCAGCAGCAAATTTCAGGATGCAACTACTCGTAAGACTTTAGACCACGGGGTAGCAAGAAGTCTAGATCTTTCTCTGCCAGGCATGTTTGTAGAGGAAGTTACTTAGGTTCATCTCGGACCACACTGCCCATGTTAAGTGTTGAAAGGACGTCTGTTGTTATCAACCCATCTTTGAGAAAAATTTAAAGTTTTCTCTGAAACTAACAATTCTTCAATTTAGTTGTGAAACAAGCCAGAACATCAGTGGTAACGTGATGTATAACATGTTGATCATACTGATAAAATATATGTGTCTGACCATATAAAAAGCTTTTGAGAAATCAATATTTATCATATGTAGCTTCTCCTTGCAATCGAGGATGGTTGTCCATCTGTTCAATTTAGTCAGCAGATTGACTATACAGCAGTGACCTAGAATCCTTGAAGTCGTGTTATTTGGGTGGGAGTTTTATAGATATTAAATAGTCGCGTAGACTGTCATACATCTAGGACCCTATGACGTTTGAAAAATAATGAACGAAGTGCTAACAGTTCATAGCTTGGAGGTACATTGAGTTGAGTTGGGCCGTGTCTTGGCTTGTATAATGTGATGACATCACACCAAACGTTGTTGCTACGACTGAAACTGATTCTCGCGACACAACATAGGGAACCATATACGGGTTAAGAGACGATCCTGTTTGGATGCAGTGCATCAACCAAACGCTCCCATATACTTCTCCGACTCCTGTTGTATTGCAGGTGAAAGATTTGTTGATGTTCAAAGAGTTTCGGCTTTTCTGGATGACATAATAATTGTAGGAGTGGATAGAATAGACTTAGAAAAGAAGCTCCAACAGGCATTGTCGGGAATAACTGAATATACATTACGGCTCCCTTTACAGAAATGTAACTTTTGTACGCAAAAGGTATGCTATCTCGAATCTATAATCGACAAAGATGACAAAAGATCACATCCAGAAAATACTCTGGCACTGAAAACTATCCCTAGGCTGACGGATATCCCCACACTATGATCCTTTTCGGGACTAGTTGTTCATTATGGAGCTTTTAATTATAACCTTCATCAGTTACGTGCCCCTTTAAATGACCTGGCGAAGAATGCAAAATGGGACTATTCCGCAGATTACCAAGCTGATTTCGACGAAACGAAGAAAATGGTAGTCTCGAATCTGTTATCCACCCGTTACGACCCATCCTTTCTCAGTGTAGTAGCATCAGATGCTTCAAACTACGGCATTGGGTCACTTATTTCTCACACCATTCTAGGTGGATCTGAGAAAGCCATATCAAGATTAAGTACTAGCCCACTACTGATTTTGGACAAGCTGACGCTTTGTCTAGACAGGTTGGTTCACATTTAGAACAGGAAGAAGATACTTTGGTGGCAGCAACTGGGATGAAAAAAGAAGTACATCGAGTATTGGACTAAGCAGTCGATGGTTTTACAGTTGTTTTCAAAGCCATCGAAGAAGCCACGAAAAACGACAAGATATCAAGAGAAGTTAGTTGTTACCTTCTCACCGAACGACCGAACCGTCGCTTTCAAGGAGAAATACCAGTATTTTCTTCGGTGGGATTCACTCATAATGGTCGATTCATGTATTATGTTTGGTGACGGAATCGTTGTTCCCAAATCATTACGCCACAAGGTTCTGAAACAAATTCACATTGGCCATACCGGTGTCAATAAGATGAAAGCGTTGGATCGAAGCTATGCTTACTGGCCTACAATGGATCAAGATGTCGAAACCAGATGTTGCAAATGTTCGTCGTGCATGCAAGCAGTTTAAAGTTCAAAGAAGTGTGAACCACAACAATAGGAAGAACCTAGTAGTTCCTGGGAGAGACTGCACGTGGATTTTACCGACCCAATAGAAGGAAGAATGTTTATAGTCATAGTGAACACAGGTGGTCACAAGATTATGCCATAGTGAATTACACAGCCAGTGAGACAATAAGCAGGTTATCTGAGCATTTTAGCTACTTTGGAGTTTCAGAGACTTGATGACCAATAACCCCACACAATTCACTATAGAATCGTCCATGAATTTCCGTAACAGTGGAATTATACATATACGCTTTCCACCCCAGCACCATCAATCAAACGGATAGGCAGTGCGATTCGTCGACAAATTCGAATATGCACTATTGAAAAGGGAAGGCGAAGGGACAAGTCAGGTAATTGCGAAATTCTTAACAGCATACAAAACTACGCCTAACCCTATCGTCCCAGATGGGCAGTACCCTGCTGAAGCGATGTTCGGAAGAAGCATGTGAACTATATTTGACGCCATGTTACCACCTAAATAAGCGGATGGACGCAAACAAAATCGGAATATCCGAGGTTTTAACGTGGGTGATAAAGTGGTCGTTAAGTCATACATTTGGGGAAATCGATGGGAACCGGGAATCATTGAAAACAGAATGGGAACTGTTTTGTACAAAGTGCGTGGAACGTTCGGAACGTGGTTTAGACGCATTAGTCAAACACATAGAGAAAAAGGATATTAAACACGGCAGATAGTCGAGTGAGGATTCCGTAGAGAAAGTTACAGATACCTTAATGGCAGGAACCCCAACAGACACTCATAGACACTGGATACCAAAGAAGCCCGAATGCCACAGAAAGCAGTTATCAAGCTGCAGGTAGATCCAAAGTTAAGGTCTTATGTTCGAAAGAGGGGAGGTTTTGGGGAGATCCAGAAGACAAGAAACATTCTGAAAACATT